CCCCCCCCCATAATGAACACCTTCATTTATAACCTGTATTTTGTGTTTACTTGTGTTATCTTTATCTTATATTTAAATTAAATTTGTTTGATCTGTAACATTTAAGTGTGACCAACATACAAAAAAATGGGAAATCGGGAGGCAGGCAAACACTTCCTCACACCACTGTAGTAGCTCTTTTCCAGTTTTACTGACCATAAAATGTAAGCCATCAGTGTAAATGACCAGATGTTGCCAATGGCACCCCTTTCATGTGAGCATGCTCAAACCTAGACCAGGATGGCTAGTGAATAACCAGCTTCAAGTGACCATTTATCCTATCTCCTATTGTAAGGTGGAACCAAAGATCTCAAATTTGGACTCATCAGCCCAAAGCGCAGATTTCTACTGATCTAATGTCCATTCAGTCTTTCTTTTCCCAAACAAATCTCTTCTCCTTGGTGTTTTTTACCTATTCTTTGACAATAAAGGCCCGATTCACGCAGTCTCCTCTAAACAGTTGATGTAGAGATGTGTCTGCTACTGGAACTCTGTGTGGCATTTATCTGGGCTGTAATCTGAAGTGCTGTTAGCTTGCAATTTCTGAGGCTTATTAGCTAATCATAATAAGCTGTTAGCCAGTGAGCATGCACTGAATCATGAGGTATTGTCTACCTGTGGGGCAAGTGGGTGTGCGGCTCAGACACCCAACTTTATGAACAAGATAACTCAAGAATAAGTTGAAGTAAGATTTGAAAAATTTGAATTTGATTTGAAAAATCTTACTTCAGAACTCATTCACCTTGAGGTCTCTTAGGTTTCAGATGATACTTTTTCTGAAAATCTTGTCAACACGATAACACGAGAAAGATGTCAACTATGATTGATAAGATAGGTGTCTATACTAGGAGTCTGGTAGCACTGGCAGCTGCCAGTATTTTTAAAAATAGTATGAGCAAGACTCCTAAAAAAGACTCGACTGATTATTACCTGACTAAAGGTGAGTGGCTGAGTCCATAAACTCATCTGGAAAGTGTTTACAGAGGGCAAGGCACAAAACCACATTCTTGTAGACTTTTTTCAACCTGTTATTACCACTTTCTGGTGTCCTTGAGATAGAAGGCAAGTTTAAGGCATGTCCAAATTGGCTTTTGTTTTCAACCCAAGAAGCTACATCCATGTTTTATGCTGAGTGGGTGTGAAGTTTTTAACTGAAGGAGGCAAAGGTGGAACTTTTGGTGTTAATACTGTTGAAAATGAGTATCTAATCCGAAAGCAACTTTTAGCAAACCTGGGTTAGACATGACTTTTTTATCTTCCAGGAAAGCATTCTAGCTTGGAAGATTACCATAATGTGACCTATGACTAACACTGACTATTAGCACAATGACAAGGATGCAATGTTTACAAAAAGAATAAAAACCTCTGTGAACAAAATTATTTCCAGACATGAACACACTGACATGCAGTAACACATTCAAAGAGAATTTAAAATTACACTTAAATGATGACAAATGAACATATTTTGAAATGGGCAGTATATGTGTCAAACCTAACTCCACTTGACTGGAAGATACTTTTTCAGGACAGTGCTACTATGCGTCACTCTCAACCAACTGGTTCTCCTTGCTTCAAACATAGCAAGCATTCTTCTCACTGACTTCCTTACCAGAAAGCAACTATTATGAATCATGTTCACTTAGGAGCTCATTTTGCATTATATAACCAAGCTTTGATTAAAAGTTTTTCTCTTTCTGAAACTACCCTTTTGGATTGGTCCCTTTGCGTGTGCAGATTTCCACCTGCATTCCAAAGGATGCATGTTAGGAAAGACTGGAGTTGTAAGAGTGAATGTTTGTCTGTCTCCTTGCCTTTCATCCCATGACAGCAGGGACATTATCTTTCCACACCACCTTAGGGTACATACTGATATTACACCAGCCTGGCCACTGTTCACCTTCAGATTAGATCTCTACAACATACTTCATAGATGTTTTGTTCATTAAGTCATTGCTGTTTCTTCACATTCCATTAATAGTTTTGGTTAATTTTGCAATGCTTAAATAATTTGCATATTTCATATTTTTATTTCCATAATGTTGTTATTGCATTTCTCCATGATGTGGGAATAATATGTAGTACTTTCTGTCTGTTATCTATACCACACTCTGCATCTCTATAGAGGTGCTACTGCCAGACTTCCTGATGGAGTTCAGACACATATCAAAATAACTGGCCACCACAATTTGATTCTAACTGCTGACCTTTGTTTCCTCTTTTAACTGTAGAAATGGTGAAAGAGGTAAACATAGTTAAAATTGTTATTAAGGGCAATAAGGGCTGTTGAAATAAAAATGCTTTGTGACTCTGTTTGAAAAAGGTCAAATATAAAACATATACAAAATAGGAAAACATAAATCAAAACCAAATATGTTTCTCCAATACATTTAAAATTAATCTTATGTTACATGTCCTGTAAAATCCACGACACGTGGGGATGAAAATATAAAAGTGTGCTGTTGAAAAATGAAAGGATTTCTCTTGAGAACAAAATAAAAAGCTAAAGATTGAAAGACAGGTTACTGTAAGGTTATGTCATGGCCTAATGTGTCATGGCCTAATGTGGTCCTACAGTAGTGCAAACTACAACAAAGGCGACTTCAGGTGATGTTTGGATGGTGGTAGCTGTGTAAGACAAATTGACCTTAAAATTAAGGTTGGGTTTGGGAGCGGTGGTTGTATCAGCACTGAGTAAAATAAGTCAACTACAGCCTGCTCTCATGTATGTTTTTTTTTTCACATTCTCTTAAATTTGTAATGTACTTTTAACTTAAAACTATTTTTAAAGTCTATATTGTGTATACATTTATTTAACATGTGTGGTCTGACAGCTCCTTGGCATTGCCATTGTCCATCTTCTTAACTTCTTCAGTTCAGTTTTGCTATTAGAATCTGTCCCATCTGTCACATGGTGAAAGGTGAAGTACCCTCCGGTTTCAGGTCGTTCTTATGACAAACAAGGAAATGTTCACAAAGAGGAAGAATAAATGGATAAACACATGATTTTAGACCACATGATTTAGATTCATGATTTGGCTATTCAAGATATCTGCCAACTGTGCTGCATTTGTTCATGTTCATAGACTTGAATTGTCCTTCTTTTTGTTTGTGTGTGTTTATTTCTGAAGCAGCACAACTAGAAGTATGTTTTTGCATATATGCTGATTCTTCAGCAGATTCTTCATCATCTTTAAAGCTTTTTTTCTGGCAACCAGAAAAAACAGCTTTATGTTTTTATGAATGCTGTTTGTATTACTTTGTGTTTTCCAGATTTATTAATTCTTTGTTTTTTTCATCTATTCGTGGTTTTAGTTTCTTTGTGTTCTGTGTATTTATGTCTTGATTTTCTACATTGTCTATTTTTTGATCCAGTTTTTTTTTGTATTTGTCTTTAACGCTGGCTATCAGGTTCAGTTGTCTGTAAGCATTTGCTGTTTTCTGTTTGTGTACAGTGTATACATGATTAATTTAGTCTATTCTGTGTGACAAACCGTGCATTGTTGTGATCTCCCAGAGCCTCCAACTGGAGAGACTAATTATATCTGTACAAGTGCGGGTATATGTACGTGGTGGGATGCTGCAATCACTACTGCAGGCATTAGCCTTTGCGTGCCCTAGATGGACGACTTTTACCTAATTTACCCGATACCTATACACTGTGTATTACGGTTTCACACCCGGAAGCACTGCGTGCTGTCTTGTCTTCTTCTGGCACACAGGAGTTAAACTTCTGCCTCCATGTGGACAACTTATTGACATTAACCGTTCTGTGATCAGCCATTTGCGTTGAGGGAAAGCCGCGCTGGTGGGATTATTTTCGCGCAGGCAGAGCGCAGAGCCATCCTCGCCGTCACACGGTGACATTGACACACTCGGAGTGTTTGTGCTGCTGTTCCCAAGTTGGTGCTTCGGAGCGTCCCCCAGCCTCAGCAACAATGAGCGAATACTTCAGCCTTTCGGACTGCGACGTTATCGGCTTCGACCTGGATCACACGCTCTGCCGCTACCATCTGAAAGAGACCTCCAGGGTGAGTGTGCAGCGCGAGCGGCTAGCTTCACACGCACACAACCGTACGGTGGCCGCGAGGCGCTGGCTCGCAACACATCTGGAATAGAAACAACCCGTGGCTGGCCAGCGGGCTCAGCGGGCATCTGTGGCATTTTTCACTGGCATCAAGGCTCGCTGGTGAAAACGCTGGAGTGTGCTGTGGGAGGTTGGATGTGATGTGATGCTGCCGCTGCTGCAGTCACTCTGCGTGACTCACGGGGTGAACGTCGGCGGTGATGCTCACACATACATGTCTTTAAGTGTTTAAGTCCCCTCAGAGGCCTGCTGATAGCCAGCACATTTTTCACACCCTTCTTCATCTGATGTCGTTAGAGTAAATAATAACAACACTGCGGACTCGCGGGGTGTTGCTGGATCCCGTGACATCGTATGACAAATAAATGACTGCTGAATCCTTGTTTCCTGCAACTTACCAAGGCCTGGAGTTCATTTGTTTTCCATCAATGTCAGATACGCACAGTTCAATTCTTTACACATATCACATAATGGATATGTCAGTGATAAAGATGTCGTCCAGTTTTAATAGACTAGTGTTTATTATCTGTGAGTGAAAACTAACTTAATGCCGTGATGTGGATTTTTCCTTTGATATTCACAAAGCATCATACAGATATGTGTAACATGAAAGGTTTAAATACTGACAAGCTTAGTACGTGAGCTCTCCAGTTTATAGTTACCTTCGGGTCTTTAGAGTCTGTGAGCACTATAATCCATTGGTTCCCTTTGTGGACCCATACTTTGTGCAGCTGTTTCTATGCTTATGCTGACTCATGGAGGTCATATTCTATAATAAGTATTTCTGTAAATTAAAAAACAAACAAACCTGAGCGGTTATGAGCAATAACTAGTTGTTCTTCATTATATCAGGGTCATAATAGGTCTTTTTTTTGGCAATGAGTGTGTTAACTTGTTAAGAAAAGAAAAGCATGGTTTAGATATGAATAAATAAACCCCCAGTATAAATAAACCCCCCCGTATAAAACATGTTGAAAAAATGCTAATAACCTTCACCAGAGAAGAATGAGGAAAGTCTTTAGTATAGCCTTAATTTGGAATATAAACCTGTATATTTTTGGCATTCTGTAGCACTCTCTGTACACTTCAGTGTGTGATGGTATGTGCTCTTTGTGTTTACAGCTTATCTACGAGAGCTTTGCCAGATATCTGGTGGAGCATAAAGGATATGACAAAGACCTGCTGAATCTAACTCCTGCTACCTGGGATTTCTGGTGAGTCAGCAGCAGCATCAGTTTTGTCGGCCTAAAGCAAAATGGGACAGAAACACGTGTAATGAATATCTGACGATCCCTCAGGTACTACATTCATCTGATATTAATGGCTAAAAAAGAAGTAACATCTTTGAAGAACAGAATGTTAACCTGCACTTCATCATTGATGAATGTATCTTTCCCTCTGCTGTGTTGACTGTTAGTAGGCCAGTACTAACCCATATCCAAGTAAAATCAATATTCGCATTCAGATGTCACTATCAGCACCCACCGAAGTGCAAGCATTCCTATTCACAGTTTTCATTTGTGTGAAGCCCTGAAGGGCAGAGTACCATTCAACCTTACTGAACATTTCATCAAACCATAGTGCAGACATATCAATTTGTTTCAAACCACAAATATTCTGCCTCTCATATGTACAAAACCAAAGAAGTGTGGACATACTGAAAGTTGTATTTTAATCACTTTTAATCAATCAAAGTCATTGCAGGAGCTCCACTTTGGTGGTTTTCTTTTAAGTATATCTTGAGTACTTTCACCAGGACAAAAGCATGAAAAAGAATGTCCCTTATATATTCTGTATAAAAGGTATGCAAAAGTTTTACATCTGAATGGGTCAAAATTTCCTCTTCAAAAGGGATGTCAGGATACAAAAGACAAGCTAATTCTTCAGCTAATTGGCTAATGCTAGCTGGATAAGGTAGTGATAGTGTTACAAAATTCATGTTGGTGTTTTCAGGTTGAAAAGATAATTAATAATGAATCAATTTGGAGTTGTTTTTGCACTTTTATGGCATCTACACCCTGATAACAGTCTTTAAGTTACAATAAAATGCTACATAGACTCAAGAAACTTTATTGTAATTTACCCACACATTATTTTTTTTATCAGATTTACACAGTTGTGCATGGACACAGTCTTGTTTAATAAATGTTAGTCGTCTTGTGTTTTTACACCTGTGGCTCATTCCCGCTCCCTTTATTAGCCATGGATGGATGTAAATTCACAATAGAAATGTGTGTTTAGCGATCTTAGATCTGATATCAGACAGCAAAAGAAAAACTACTCAAAGGAGAAAGAGTAATGGAGGCTATCAACTCTACATTTAGAACAAAAGGACCTGGCAGATGTAAAAAAGAAAAAAGTACATCAGTTTGCAGAAAGAAAACATCAGCTATTTATAGCACCCATTTATTAGGGTACAATTTGAAATGTGAAAATGTTGCTGTTAAATGTTAAATATGGCTTCACCTTATTATTTTGCTCAAGTCCAAAGGTCTTGCCTTGCTTAAAAAAAGAGTTGTAGGTATGGTCAGACGTACGCCTGGTGTTGCTATAGTTCTACAGCACATTTCCCATTTATGCAAGTTTTTGTGCATACACATTCTTTATCCATCTGGCTGTGGCGTATAAGCATTTTCCACTGAACACACGGTGAAACCAACAATTGGTAGGCTCAACAGATGGCAAACAATTGCTTGACCACTGATCTTGTACTTGTAAATCAAGTAACTGCAGATAGTTTTTCTAACAGAGACTTTTGTGTTCAGTTTTAAAGGGCTAGTGGTGGATCTGGAGGATGGAAACCTTGTAAAGCTAGCGGAAGATGGAACTGTCTTAAGGTATGAGTCTGCATCATGACAGTTTCAGCGTTCACAGAACTTCAAAGTGAGATGATAACTTTATCACGGTTTTTCTTCTGTTTGAATAGAGCGACACATGGAACCAGTGATCTCAGCACAGAAGAAATCATCAAACATTATGGCCCCAAAAGAGAGTGGAATCACTTTAATAGCCTCAGTACCTCCTTCACGAGATCTTGTATGATGTTTACATCCATCTGTATCAATCAGTAACTGTAAGCTGTTAGCTCCTGACCTCTTAATATCTACCATATCACTAGAGACCTGTGGGTTGGTGATGTCTTCTCCTTTATATGGAAATTTCACCTATTTGGGATACCTTACTGAATAATAATCTTAAACTGAATAATAAGCTTACAGCAGATTGCATGTGAAAAACTTGATTTGAAAGGTAATATCTTTCACTGTAATGTTTTTGAAACTGTGCTTTTTTAATTTGTGGCTAAATTCAGGCGTAGTGGTTTGCCAGTGACTTGTTGGAGCTTAAGCAGTTGAGAAGCTAATGTATATTTTCTTTATATTTTTTCACAGTTTTTTTTTTACATTTCATTCATTTGCTAATATTTTCTTTTGGTCTTTGCAGCAAAATACTACTTCTATGATAACTACTTTGATCTGCCTGGTGCCCTTCTCTGTGGACGAGTCGTTGACATGTTGCACAAGGTCATTTTTGTTTTGTTACTGTGAGATTTGTAATATTGGTTGGCATTTTCATGACGAGAACACATACTGAAACTTAATTTATGTTTGTTTCTCAAACAGCGAGGAAATGAGGTGAATTCTGACTTTTGGAAAGATATGGTGGCTGCCATTGACCACAATTACAACACATCTGCGTTCAGAGGTAAGAATTTTATTACAAACCTGCATACATTTTAGATTTCTTATGAGAAGAACACAAATTAACACACATAGGTAATCTTTTGTTTTCAAATAAGAACTTTTATTCCATGTTTGGTCAGTGAGTGGTACATAACTTAACACATCCAAGGAGACATAGTTGTTTAGAAAAATGGTTTGAATTTTTTTTATCTTACGTTCCTTTCCTGATCACAGTGCTTGTGAGAATGTGCTGATCTCTAATGACATATAGTACACGTTTGCCTTCTTGTATGTCTTTTTATATGTATATTACAGGAAAATTCTTAAACAACAGACATTAATAAAACAAACACAAGTAAAAGACATGCTGTAAATGTTACAGGCAGTTGTAGAGCACCACTTAAAGTATCATGTATCTTATGTTGTTATGTTTCATGGATTTTAAAATTCCAAAGGCACACACAAAGTAAACTGGGGAAAGTGATCATTTTTAATCTGCAATAAATTTCTGAACAACTTCTTAGCAAATTGAAGACATTTAATGAGGCGGTTAAACCTTTAAAACTTGTAACCACATTTTTCTTTAATCTGCAATCCAAATTCTGAACTTTGTAAAGTGATATTTTTCTCTGAGTATTTAAATGTTTTATAAGGTTTTGAGGTTTATTTGGATTTGTGAAATCACGTTGAGGCAATCAAGAACCCAGAGAAACCGCAGTGAACATTATCGGCAGCAAATATGCCATTACTCTCCTCATCAGGGACCTGAATATAGACTCTGTCACCTGTATACAGCTGGAGAACAGCACTGCCTGCCATCTCATCCAGGAAGCCCTTGTTGTACTCATCATAGGTGAAAAGAACTGGCTCCTCATTTCTGTAGAGGGCCACCAAAGCATTGGCACCATTGACATGAAAGTGATAGCTGAAATAGTAGAGGCCTGGGACCTGGCAGGTGAACACGCCACTGTGAGGGTCATAATGGTTCTCTCCATTGTACAGAATCTGGTTAAACTGAATAGGGGTTCCTGCTGGGGGGTAGGCCGTGGTTAGCACAGCACTAAAAGCGGACATAGGAGCCTTAATCATCTGAGGCATCACAACCTCATGAGATTTGATTGGCATGCTCTTCTCATGGTGGTAGACCATTTCTCCTGGTGGACCAGGTGGTCCAGGAGGACCAGCAGGACCTGGGAGACCATCATGACCTCTGGAACCAGGAATTCCAGGAGGACCATGGGGACCAGGAATTCCCTTAGCTGTCAAGCCAGCTGGGCCAGGTGGACCTGGAAGACCTGGATGACCCTTGAATCCAGTGGGACCTGAAGGACCAGGAGGTCCAACGGGTCCCATTGGTCCAGGCAGTCCAGACTCACCGCTTTTACCTGGTGCTCCTGGGGTGCCAGTGTGTCCCTTTGGCCCTTGGGCACCATTAATACCTGGGAGTCCTGGGGCACCTTGATGGCCTTGTGAACCCTTTGGACCTTGAGCACCATTATGACCTGGGATTCCCGATGGACCTACTGCTCCAGGGGTACCTGGTTTTCCAGTGAAACCTGGAGCTCCCTGTTCTCCTTTGGTTCCTCTTGGGCCCGGTGCACCTACCATGCCAATGTCACCTTTGGGCCCAACTGGGCCTGTCTCACCCTGAAATCCTCTTGCACCCTGTGGGCCAGCTGGACCCATGGGACCAGTAGCACCTGGCTGACCAGTAAATCCAGTTGGGCCTGGCTCTCCTTTTTGACCAGTAGTTCCTGGACTACCGGGGGCTCCTCTGCTACCTGGAATTCCAGGTTCACCTGTTTTGCCAACACCTGGCATGCCAGGTGAGCCTGGTTGACCAGCAGGACCCTGTGGACCTTTTACTCCCATTGGTCCAGGCATACCTGGGGTGCCATTCTGACCGGGTTTTCCTGGTGCTCCTGTGCCTGGTTGCCCAGTATGACCCTTTGGCCCTTGCACACCCATTGGTCCAGGTGAACCATCTCTTCCAGGCTCACCAGGCTTGCCAGGTTCTCCAGGATAACCGGTGGCACCAGGTTTACCAATTCCAGGTTTTCCAGGCATTCCAGATGGGCCCATTGGCCCAACAGGCCCTGCTGGTCCTTGAACGCCAGGAACTCCAATGCCTCTCTCTCCTTTGGGTCCATGAAGACCAGGAATTCCAGGATGTCCCTTTAAACCAGGCTCTCCTCTTGGACCCATTGCTCCAGAGATCCCAGCTGGTCCAGGTTTTCCAACAGAAGAAAGTCCAGCAGGTCCAGGAGATCCAGGGGTACCAGGTGCACCTCTGTGACCCATTGGTCCAGTTGCGCCAGGCTGACCTCTTTCTCCAGGCTTTCCAGGGGCGCCTGGTTTTCCAGGGCTACCTGAGACACCAGGTTTACCTGCTTGAGTGAAACCAGGTGGTCCGGGTGGTCCAGGTGGGCCTTGTGGTCCAGTGTGTCCCACACCACTCTTTCCAGGAGGTCCAGGAGGTCCCATTGGTCCTGGCTCACCTGGAGGACCTTGAGGGCCTTGCTGGCCTTCAACAGCTAGGGATTACAAAAAACCCACAAAAAAGTAATTAATCAGTTGATAGAATGTATATGTCAAAATGTTATTATGCCTCTGTTTTTTCTGGTTTTAGCTTTTGGTCAGCTCTATTTTTATCTTTGAATTTAGTAAATGTATTGATGAACTGAAATTGAATTTATATGTTGAGATAGTGGCTTCATAATAGAGCATCTTGTGTCCATTTATTGTACAGCCTTTTATGACTCTTGAATAACCCTGACATCTGATATCTTCTCCATAAGATCACAATCTGACTTGAAACACTGATCCCTGTAAATTGTGGAGTGGGTTTTTCACAGCATGATCTTCACAGCACAGTAATCTGTGGTGTTGCTCCCACACAGTTTATGCTTGCTGGTATAAGACCCAGTTGTACCCTCTCCTATGAACAGCAGCTGTATATGTCCACCCAATACTGCACCCATCCTTTTCCTGTACTGCCCATGCTAGTAAATGTGTAGTTAGTGGCATCAAATCAACATCATCTTAATGCATTTCGTGCCATATAAAGTACAATACAAGTACAAGTAATGGCTAAAGTGGGATGAATATGTGTGCTAAACTGGTGTATAATGCCAGTTTGTAGTGGAAGTTAGTGTTCACTAAATTTACAGCTATAATATAGGTGTAGTTAAGCATAGTTCCTTTTCTCCAACAATACAAACTATTTATAGCTTTACTCCAATTTAACAGTAGATAGGGAGCATCATGGACAAAGTTGGCAGTTTGTTCTTCAAACCTAAGGTAACACATATAACTTCCAGACAGTCTAGTTATGTTGTCTCTTGACCTCTTAACATCAAACAGGTTGCTAGCAGACTGGTTTGGATTAGGATTAGGTTCACATATACCATGTATCAGGAGTTTTTGTCTTTTTTGAAATATGCAACTAGAAATCGTTAAAAAATGGGGGGTTAACTGCAGGATCAAAATGCATGTAAGAGACTTGATTTGAAAGGCAACATTTTTTAGTTTCTGAAAATATGCCCGTTTGGTGAAAATCAACCCTAACCTCAAGTCTTTTGCAGACGACATGGCTGAGATTAAGAGATTACATTTGTTGTTCATGCATTGGAATTTTTACTGATGACTTAAACTTACATGTATTATTTTTCAGTTTGGTAGTATCTTAAAGTTAATTTAATACTTTTAGTGAAAGTAAAGTAAAGAACACAGTTTCCAGAGCTGTCTACCTTTAAGTATCTTTATAAATAATATAATTATCATTTTCATTTCTACTGTAAAAATGAAAACCTGAGCACTCTGAGCTTTAATATTAACAAGACAAATCATTTATATAAATGCTGTAGCTTTTCATCATAACTCTGGATGCATCCTTGTCAAATGAAGACCTGTCAGAGAAACAAATCAAATGGTGCTGGCCTCTCTTTTGAGATGGTGTTTTGAGAAAAAAAAGTTCTCTGAGAGGGCTATCATTTTCCTGTCACATAAAGGCTGTGCTTGAAACCTCACAGGAGATGTTTGTGCCAGAAGTGGGAATTTTTGGCAGCCAAGAAAACCACAAAATGAAGGTGATGATACTGGCCTCGGTAGCTAACCCCTGATCTGAACTGCGTGTTGCCTGTAAACACTGTGCATGGTTAGGCTCACATTCCATGTAGTGTCATTATCCACGCTCAGTTTGGCTGCTTCAGTAAATACCCCCTCAGTCTGACTCTTGATTCTGTCTTTTATATTAGAAAGACTGTTTCCATTCTTTCAGCTGAGTGAAGGTCCATTAAATTTGCTGTGGTTTGTTTGGGAGATTTACTGTTTGAACTTATGAGAGCATTTCTCCGCAGCCTGTATAGGTTTTTTTCCCCTTGTAATTGTATGGTGTGATTTTAATACCACAAGGCACTTTGCGAGGGCGTGCCTGCAACGTGGTCGCAGCATCTGTTTTGGAGATTTGTCAAATTTGAGCTTGCATTGTTGACTTTGAAATCTAGATTTACGTAAAGGCACACAAGTCAAACCACATCAGAGCAAAGTAGCAGAAATAAGTCCTTCTGAAAGTTTGACTCTTTGTTTTGTTGGGGTATAAAATTTAGTTTTAGGCATCATCTTGGTTGCTGTGTCATAACTACTGCTTTGTTTTTTATGACACATGCAGTATACACAGCTTTCCTCTTTAAACTTAATTTATCCAGAGCACAAGTGCTTGCTTACAGCCTTACCCCACCTTTCAGTTATATACAGCGGTACACAGCAGTTTACTTGGCCTGCTTGATAGCACTTAATTAAGGAGGGTGGCACTTTCCATATGTATATGAGTCAGGAGTTTGCCAGGATATGTGACATTCGTAGCGATGATAATTATGATGAGGATAATGACGTGTAGCTTGTTGAAAGATTGTCTTCAACCTATGTAAAAGGCTGCTGTGTTTGCAGGGTTCATGCAGGTTATCAGATCAGTGGTGACAGCTCAAACGGCAATTTTTGTCGTGAGGTGGTGACTTGAAAACC